GCCCTTTTCACAGTCCTTGCTAATTCAGGTCATGAGGGATAGGCTTCATAAATCAGAGCTTCAGAGTTGGGTCTGTTGTGCTCATGGGATGCCTGGATAATGGGGATTAGGCTGTGCTGCTTACACGCAGAGCTGACACCGCCAGGCTGGTACCTGAATAGATGACAGAAGACTTCTAATAAGTCACATGTTGGCAGAGGAAGGCTAAGGCAGTTTTTCCCAGCTGCACACCTCTGCTCCTCAAGGCCATCGTGGGCCCAGAGAGCTGCATTCAGCAGTTCAATGCATCAATTTGTCAGCTGTGGGGCTGCGTGAGAAAGTTTGAAAGTTGTTCAAGAATCTATTTGCTCACAAGGCTTTGGAATCACTGAACTAAGGCAGGTTTGCCTCTAAAAAATGGCATTTCTCAGGGTTAATTAGCCGACTTCCATTCTTGGCTAGCTTGTGCTGCCTTAACCTCCTGACTCTCATTTCTTCCTTGACACTCTTCTTTCTTCCCTTAGCATGTCTGTTTGAACTTCACTGATTCCCAGCTATGTTGCTACCAGTCTGTGTGCTGGGTCAGCTGTTACCTTTGAGTATTTTATTCTCCTAAGAGCTTCCTGGATCAGAATTGCCTTGACAGCATCACGCATCACTAATTATGGGGGAACACAGTGGACAGTGATAAATTTTAAAGGCTTCCTGTAGCCAGGCTCAGGTTTATCTCGTAGGGATGCTTGGATAGATTAGAAAACAAATCACAAGTGTGCCAGGATAGCTGAGAGCTTTGGTAAGTAAACCCTTCGTGACCCGTGCAGATGACTGAAGTCCCAGGGCATGAAACTTGATGATTTGTTACTATAAAACCTGATGCCATCTGTCTTTTCAGCTCACCATAGGTCGTCTGCACAAAGGCATGGTACGTGCTATCTGTTCTAGACATCCTAAACCTTTGGTCCATTTAGGTTATTCTGTTCTATTTTAGTTGTACCAGAGGAGGTTTAGGTTAGATGTAAGGAAGGACTTATTCTCTCAGAGTGGTCAGGCACTGGAATGGCTGCTCAGGGAGGTGGTGCACTTGCTGTCCCTGGCAGCGTTCAAGAGGTGTCTGAATGAGGAGCTACGAGATGTGGTTTAGTGCTTGTGGAGCAATGGTGATGGGAGGATGGTTAGACTGGATGATCTTGCAGGTCGTTTCCAACCTTGCAATTCTATTATTCTAAGGAATTGCACGATCATTTCGTTGCCGGCTCCTAATTGAAGTTTGGTGTTTGTTTTTTTTTTACAAGCACATGAGAATGAGCTTAGTAAGATCTGTACTATGCAGTGCGGTGGGTTTAATCTCCGTAAGTCCTTTTCCATTCATCCAGGAGCATAAGTCACCATCATATAAATCTTACCTTACAGTGTAACTTTTTATTAGGTTTATCAACTGTTACGGCTCTTTAAGATTCCTTGGCTTTTGAAGTTATGTTTTTGTAGTAGCCTCTCCTAATTTGTCTTCTGAGTTCCTTATAGCAGTTTATGTTTGAAGTCTGAAGGTAATGGCCTTAAGTTAATTTTATCTGTCTTTGTAGAAAGAATAGTTTTTCACTATTACTTAGTCTTTGCGTGCTCACACAAAAGGTTATTGCATGTATTCCAAAATGGGGACTTGGGTGGCAAGCAGCTCAAGTTCCTCAGTCCTGGGAAGAAGGTGTTGCAGCTTGCCCTAATTCTGACCTGCAGCCATCCTGTGCTAATGGGTGGCTGTCAACAAAGACATCATTTGTGGTGGGGATTTTGTTGCACTCCAGTTCTCTTGAGTGCTGCAGTCTTAATTCATGAAAGCCACTGATCATGCTTTTCATCTTGGCCTGGGCTGGTTTCAACTGGAATCACCAAGTCACCTTCATTTTCTCAGTGCCCTCAAGCTTTTGCCTGCTGCAGATATCATCAAGTGAAATCCTGGTACAGGTTGCAGTTGTGCTAACTTGAGTCGTAACTGCAAACTTACACCAAGCTGGTCATCCCAGCAGGGTGACTCTCCGGCTCATTCAGTGTAATAGAAGTGGAAGATCACTGCTGAATCTTAACCTTTTGTGGAAGCAGTTCTTTAATATTGCCTTTAGCATGGTCTGTGTTTGCATATTGCTCATATCACCTGCAAACACAGGCACTCAGCAAAACTATGGGTCCAGCAGAGTTCCAGTGAGGTCATGGTGTGCTCTGTGCACCAGTGCCAAAGCAATTCCTGAGATACACCCGTCACAGATACTGCTGCCCCTATGCTTGTCCTTCCCAGTACAAAAAGGATCTTGTTTGATACAGTTTGGTTTGGGCTCGGCTTAACACAGGGAGGGAATAAAGGAGGTCAGCTAAATAAAACACGTTTATATAACAGTCTGAGCAGAAAATCTGATGTGTCTTGTAGGGTTAAGTGAAGTAAACTAAGGCAACACAACTTGTCCTGAACTGGAGAGAACGTGTGGGTGAGTGGCACAGAAGGCACTGTTACACATTGAGATGGGAGAAAAGGCAAGGGAAAATACCACCACCACAAACTCGCACACCTTCAGCTGTGGTAATAATTGAATTCACAAGATGGATTCTGAAATGTTGCTATGCATCCCAAAAAATTCAGTGGGGATGTATCAGATGCTAATCAGTAGTGACTGTAGATTGTAGTATACTTTCATATGTATATAATATGCAATACATATGCCAGCCTGTGACTGAGATGGTTTTTTGAACTGTAAATCTCCAGGAATTGGGAACTCTGAGTCTTGAATTTCCTAAAGCAATCTCTGCCCTTTGGATCCCTTCCTATCTGAACAGTGCTAGTTTAACAGTTGTGCTTGTCTTGGATGGAAACATGTAGGGAAAGTATGGATTTATATTTTGTTCATGGTATGTCTCTGAGATAGGACTGCCAGCTATGACAAAAGGAGATCTAAGGTTGGTATTTGAGGAAGAGATCCTTGCTAAAAACCAAACCTTCCTTTAACAAAGAACAACTAAACCATTGCTGGGGAAGCAATTTTAAGGTCTGTTCTAAGTGTAGCAGTAAAGGTTTTGAGGAACAATTAAATGGCATGTCCAAATGAATTAAACACTTTTAGTATAGTAGTTTCTCTGTGTTTTTTTTTCTGGCTTTTTTTTCTTCTTTTCTTAAGAACCTTGGATAAATGCAGGGGGCAGTCTGGAGAGGATGGGAAGCTATTTCAGAACAGACTGAGAAACTGTCCAGACCTGTAAGATGATGCATTTCCACAAAGGAAGGTTCTTTTCAGCCTGTTGATGAAAAATCTTGTGGTTTCCCACCAGTAGAAGCCACTTAATTACATTTTGTGTATGCTCTTAGGGTACCTGTTTGGTGAGAACCTGACAAACGGTCTTCTGAAAGTAAATCAATTCTGTTTTCTTGGGCTTTCTTGAATATACATGATGTCCGGAGCCTGAAAAGCACAGCAGTGGCACAAGAGGAAGCAAACAGTGGGGCGCCAGTTAGGCTCTGTAGTTCTGTGAAAGACTTTGTAGCCTCGTGTAAAGAAAAAGAAGAATGTGCCATTGGCGGTAGTGAGTAAATGGAACCTCCTTGTCTTCTTTGCTCTTGTCTCCTTATAAATAAACCATTGTTGTCCATCCTTGGCATTTGCAGTTCATTGTGATAAATTGGTGTTGATGTGTCTGACATTTCAACCGAGTTGTTTAATGGTGCTTTTCTGAAAAGGCAGGCCTTGCTATAGCTCGAGTTGGTCCAGACTATATCCAGGGTAAGCACTCGCTCTTATGTATGGTGCTAACCCTTTTCTTTCTGGGAGGGTGAAGAGGAAAGGAGAGAGTAAACATTTTGGTCACGTAAGCCCAGAAGATCTGGTGTTTGTGTAAGCAGTGTGCAGAAACAGAAATGTAAGTCTGGTTTGCAGCTGCCCATTTCATAGCACAAACACTGATGTTGAGTCCATTTGCACTGCTGCATTGTCTCTGCTTGAAAATAACAACCTTGCTGAATAATGCCAAAGTTTTCATCAGAGCTGTGCTTTGAGTTTTATGCAGAATCCTCTATCTGTTACCTGCTAATGCTTACAGACTGTTGGCTTCCATGCAGTGATGCTTAGGTGCAGAAACCATTGAAATGCAGGGATAGGATGAACTGTGAGCAAAAGCAGCTTTTTACTACATTCCAAGTTCAAGCTTTGATTTACATTTTTAAAATACGTGTAATTACTTTGTCAGTGAGATAAATAAAATAGAGATTGTTTTCCATAAACAGAAGTCCTCTGTCTGCACTTTTCCAAACCTTTCAGCTTGCCAACAATATTGATATATTGGTTGCCCACAGCTTCTAGAAATGGCTTTTGAAGTGCTTCAGAGTGCTGAGAAGATGGAGAAATCCTGTGGCTAAATGGTGCTGCTTTTAAGAGGGGGGTTGATGCTTTGAGGCTGCAAGAGGGCCCTCCAACGCCTTCTTGTGCAAGTGGAGAGAAGGTGTAATGTTCATCCTCTCTTGCTCAGTACTTGGAAAGCAGACAGACTTTGCATTAATTTCTTTACCAGGCACACTGTGAAAGATATTTTTAGTTCTAATCCAGAATTTAAGATTTCCTTTAGAATTTAAGTTCCTTTTCAGTAGACTCGCAGCCATATGTAGCATTATAATTATTAACAGCTGTGGAAAAACTATTCAAAAATGTGTTTTGAACAGAAGAGTTGATCTGCTTAATAAACAAATCCTGACAAACTGGGTAAGGATCGGTTAGTTCGTTTTGTTTGCATGCTGCTGTACGGTTGTGTTCCTAAAGTAGGGTGGCTGAATCAGGCACACAATGAGGGGCAGGCTGTTCTCACATGTGAAAATACTGTGATCTCTCTTAGGGGGCATGTAAGCAGGCAGACCTCAGAACTGTGGACATCACATTTCATTACAGGTCTCAGGATTGAGCCATACCAAGTGATAGTAACTTTAAGTGCCAACAGTGTTAGCAATGTCTAGAAGTATGTTAAACTTGTATTTTTTCTTTGTTTTATTCTTCTAGCCAAACAAGTGTGCCCAGCTGAAAAAATTAGCTGTGGAGACTTAAGCAACAAATGTATCCCGTCGTCCTGGAGATGTGATGGGCAGAAGGACTGTGAAAGCGGTATTGATGAGGCTGGTTGTGCTCCTGGTGAGTTAGAGAAATACTTTAATGCATGTGCAACGTCTCCCTTAGGAAAACCATAAAAGTTTTAGAGTGACTATTACAAATTGCATGTAAAGGGATGACTTTTCTGCCAACAAAATTCGCTCTGTCTATATTTGCAATGCTAAGTAGTGGATCTTAAAAAAAAAAAAAGACATGAAGGAGGGATTCTACAATTGGAGATGGCTGGAGAATATAAAGGGAACTCTGTGGAGAGCTATGCTGTATATCTTCTGTGCTGAGGCAGAATATAATTAGTTGGTCATGATTATGAGGGCTTAATACCCAGGAGATGTGGTGGTGAGGACTTAAATAGCAAACCTTTTTCTCTTATAGCTTAGCAGCTTAGTGCCACCTTCTTCTTCCTGCAGAGCATAGCCCTGTAGGCTATGTTAGCTTCTGCTGGGATGTAATAGATAGGTCTGGACCTTGTGAATGGCCTGTTGATTTTACTGGACAGAGAGAGAATGATATACAATTTACTGTAACAGTTTTAAATTCAGTCCCTCAATGGCCATTGCCTTTCATTAGGCCTTTTTCTCCTGAATGAAAGAGCTCTTTAACAGTGTATTCCATCTGTGAAAACTCCTACACTGTGTAATCAAGTCATTTCTCAAACTGTCTTTTTGATAGACTAAACATATTTAGTTCTGTGTGCTTCTTGTTGTCAAGTATTTTTCTTCTGAATGAATGCTTGACTCATTTTTGTGGCTCCCTTTGATATCTCAGCTCATTTTCCAACTTTGTTTTCATACAGACCACCAGAACTTTGCGAATATCAGTCTGTCCATTACTGTGCAGAAGTAAAATCTCATTCCTGTATTGCTCTTAGTTATGTATTGTTATTACTTGTCATTATTTACTTCCTTGTATAAATAGTCCCAGGCTATTAAGAAAGTATCTCTTGCTCTGTGTGATTGCCATCACCCTATAGTTATTCACTCCTGTCACTGTTTCTGTCATTTTGTGTGATTCAGATTACTGGTGAGAGGCTTGAATTGAGTACATACAAACACACGTTGATGTTTCTTCATCTGAAAACTGAATTTTGAGCTGTGATGCCTGTCCAGTTCACAATCCACATCGTTTTTCCATTGAGGTTGTGTAACTGTGTATGAAGCTTCAAAATAAATCACTAATTCAGTGCAATACAGATTAGACATAAAGTTTTCCAAAGCATCTCTGTTCTGTTTTGCCCGTGACTCTGTAGTCCAGTGGTAACGGATGCAGGTTACTGTGTATATGATGAGTTCTCTGCTTGTTCTGACCACACACAGACTAACTCCACTTGCAAGGAAAAGGCATAGGCTGCCTCACGTTGCCTCCTAATTCATGTGAAATTAAGTGCCTGTGCATGGACCATTCCTAATTCATTAATTATGATGTGATAAATTGGTAATGTGCCCTAATCCTTTGTCCTTTAAGGTAATTATGTTTTGGCAGTTTTCAAAAGCAGTGATCTGTATGAAACCCTAAATGTTCTCTCTATAGCATGTGCTTTTTTGTTGTTGAACTGCTTTAGAGAAAAGCTCAGAAGAGAAATGTAACTGCAAGCAAAGTAAGATTTTTTTCCCTCAGTAGGAGTTAATGAAGTTATAACAATTTTACACTGGTGGATACCTCTACTAATTTAATGCTGCTGCTCACGCTAGTAGGAGTTGTTGCGTGGAGTCTATTATTTATTAAAAAAAAACCCCTTCATTTGAAACTGCTTGCTTTGAAGTTCTTCTTTTCAAGGCTCTGAGGTGGCCCCCAAAATGAATTTAAATATGTTCTAGATGCCACATAATTTCAGCATAATTTTGCTATTAACAGATGTAGAAAAAGCTGAGTGTTTGCCTTCTGGATGTTTCAGCGTTTCTAGCCTTGCTCATCTTCTACAGTTGTAGTGCACATGTAGGATTGTACAGTGGAAATTTAATCTAAGGACAAACTACCGTCTTCTGATGGCTGTTGGGTAACTCATGTGAAGTGAATTTGACTTTCACTTAGTTCCTTATCATTGACCCAATGTAGGCTGCCACCTCAGTGGGTGCAAGGTGGAAATCACTGCTGAGTCTGAATGTGGCTCATTCATCCTCTGGCCAGGGGACGGGGCAGGAAGGCACTGATGGGCAGACTTTGAGCTTCCTGGGTGGGTGCAGGCATCAGAGGCTTTCAATACTAATATCTCGTGACTCAGCCTCTTTCAGAGGCATTAGATTTAGTCTGAGAAGGAAACAGGTGGCACTTCTGAATGGCTGTCCTAGGTGTGTTTTCAATGAGTATGCTTGTCAAATTAAGGGTTTTTTTTTGCCATGGATGACAACAGACATGTTAGTTGTTTAAACTCTGAGGGCTTATAGAGGATTGATTGCTATCCTCCCTTTTGTCCAAATCTGATGAAACCTCACTAAGCCTATCTGATATTCTGTTAACATTCCCTTTTCTTTTCTATTCAGAATCCTTCTATATCCGTTTTCTCTTATCTCAGTAGCACACATCATCCTGATTCAGAAAAAGGAAAATGGCTGATCCTAGGTTCAGACCTCTTTTTCTTTTTTCTTTTTACCTCTGCACTCGCTGCTTTATTCTCATTTTTGATGAGGTTTCATTGCTGGCTGTCACTTGCCAACCCTGTGGAGCAGAGCACCATGCTGTAGCTAGTGCTGCACCTCTGACAGAGCTGACAAAGCTCCTGTCCTTAAAGTCCTAAAAATCCTTAAAGAACACATTTTTCTAGATAAATGTTTAGAAGGGAGTTTATTTGTGCTTACACTAATTGCCATGTTGAGAGCTTGCATGTGCAATAAACAAATGGAAGATGACTTGAAGATAATGCTTGTGAAGGCACCCAGATGAAAAACCCTAAGCTCTTCCTAAATCAATGTCAGTAAAACCATTGCTTTGAGCTAATGTAAGACTCTAGGCATATTTTAACTGCAGATGCTCCCATTTCTTTATAGCAATAACTGTCTCTTGGTATTATAATCCTTCAAAAGAATTTTTGCTAAATGTGGAGTTTTTGAACATTTTTCTAATTCATAAATCTAGCACTGTTGTACTGCCTTGCAAAGGTAGGAGCAGGGGCTGGTTGTGATGAGGCTGTGCAAGCACCTATTCCCATCTCAAAATGTTCATGGTCTGAGTTAAGGGAGGAGTTTGTGAGAGAGGAAACCAAGGGTTATGGTAGTAGCATCATTCAAAAACTCAAGCAAGAATACTCAGGTTCTTCTTCCTATGTCTGCCTCTGTCATCCAGCAACCTGCTTTTCTGATACTGCTCTGGGTTGGGTAATTCTTGATGGATTTTTTTCTTTCATGAATTTGCTGATCAGAAATTTTGGGGAAGTAGTGAATAAGAAAATGAGTTTTTCTGTTTGGGTTGGGTTCTCCTTTAATGCTTTGTGTTGGCCACAGCTTTGGTGGATTACTTTGCAGACCGCTGTCCTCCTTTGCTGTCACTGTTGAAGGTTGATTTTTACTACTGGCACCCTAAAATGGTTTGAGATGGATTTGTCACAGCAGTGCTCAGGATATCTTTCACTTAAAGAAGTGAGAGAATTTGTAGCCTTGTGTGGTGTCCTTGTGTAGCCTTCATTAGACAACAGGTTCATCAGCATAGTTAGCAAGCTCTGAACTTATATGAGTGCAGGTACGTTGAAAAAAATGCATCATCCCAAACTATTGGATAAGTCATGTACTTCTTCCAGCTCCTCATCTCCCACAGCAGAATCCAGCCCTGTTAAAACCTAGCCTTGAGAGTAAGGTGATGAGTGTGAAACAAGGGTCCAGTTTGCCATGTCTGGAGGGAGAAACAGCAACGTGACAAATGAAATCCATGAGAATAAAAAATTCTGTGGAGATGACAGAGAGAGCTTTAGCTGAGCTGCTAGGCCTGGTCTGTACTGCTAGCAGGCAGTGGTGTTTTCAGGAGGAATCCAGACACTGACCCCATTGTTGAATGGATGGTAAAGAAATGGTTTTTTGGTTGTTTTTTTGTGTGTGTTCTGTTTTTTGTTGTTCATCCATAAACAAGAATTAAAAATTGTAAGGTTTTCATCCTGTGGAAAAACTTCCACTGAGGAAGTATTGGAAGCTGTAAATTGTTTAATCTGCCTTGCATAAAGCAACAGTGATTAGGGATCCAGATTTGTGTCTGCACAGGTTGTAATTGCACCAGGGATTAATTGTGGGTATTAATCCTTGCATGTAGGTAGGTGAGTGCCCATCTGCCTGAGTCATTCACTTCCAGCAGTTTGAGCAGTAGGCTTTAAGTCTGCTGCTGACTTTCAGTGCACAAACAATTTTTGGAAATGCAGATATCTGCCTTTTTGAAAATAAAATACATGAAAAGGATGTTACTTTTTGGTTCTTTGGAGCAGAGGCGAGCTGTGTCTTTACAGTAAGTCCTGAGTCTGGTTTGCTTCTCTAAAACAGGCAGCAAGGAGTTAAGAATGTAGGAGCAGTTTTGAATTTACTAGCCTGATTTCTGTGGTCAAGGTTTTCTGCTCCTGATATACCTCATCTTCATCAAAATCATTTGGATAAGCCTAGGAACACATTAACTGAGACTAAAAAGAGAAATTAAATGTGAGAGTCCACATGTAGAGAGAGCATCACAACTCTGGATCGTTCTGGTTAATAACTACTACAGAACTTGTTAAATCTCTGCTAAGAGAGGCACTGACTGGTGTTTTGTCACCTGCCTAGGAATGCAGGGAGCATCTCAGCATAGATTTAGAAAGGAAGAACTGCCATCACAGAATCACAGAATCACAGAATCACCTGGGTTGGAAGGGACCTCAAGGATCATGTAGTTCCAACCCCCCTGCCCAGCAGGGCCACCAAACACACACATTCAGATCAGGTTGCCCAGGACCCCGTCCAACCTGGCCTTGAACACGTCCAAGGACGGGGCATCCACAACCTCCCTGGGCAGCCCGTTCCAGGGCCTAACCACTCTCCTTGTGAAGAACTTCCCCCTAACATCCAACCTAAATCTTT